GAGTCCTGTCTGTGTTTCCTGTCTGCTTTCAGGAAGGCCCAGTCAGGATAACCACACTGCTCCAGGGCCTCCAGAGCCTTAGGTGTCAACGATAGCCATGTGATGTGAGTATCAGTCACATGGAGGCAGGGCTTAAAAGCCTGAATTTTGCCTGAAACTCAGACTGAAGAAGTCAGAGAGACTGAAGAGGTCTCTTGGAGGAGAGACGAAACGTTTCATTAGAGAAGAACCCGTCCAGAAGACCTATACTATTTTTTTTCTTTTTGAAGTAAACAAGATTAAAATCATTTCATGTGACAGTATGTGTTTAACTTCTGATTTGATATTTTACTCCAGAGTAAACTCAACATGTTTCGTCCCATCTAATAAGAATCTGGAAACTAATCAGATGGATCAGATGTGAACAAGAATGAATGATTCAGTTTAGCTGCTGGATATTTGACTAAATATCAAACGCTGATTAGTTCAAATCATTCTAATCTTTTCACACTGAGTGAATTCTTAAATGGAAAATTAATACATTTAAATTAAAAGATTTGTTTTACCTTGTGCTTGATGAGTAAACTAAAGACCTTGGAGAGCAAGTCAGACACCTGAATCTATAAAGAACAGGAAAGAGACACAAAGTGTAACAGAGCAGGCTAGAAGCATTAAAACTGAAAGTTCATGTTGAAACAACCTTTTTTAACAAACCTAAGAGACGTCATGCAGCTGCTGGGTTTTAGTGACACTCATCTGAACCAACAACTGTTGTAAAAGAATTGTTTTAAACTATGCAAACAGGACTTTACATGCAGTTTATGTCTCAAGAATTCTTGAAACCTGTAAACTGAGGATTAGGAGGTTTGAGGAGAAACAGGCAGCTATAGTAATAAAATGTTTAACAGTTAAAATGTTGGCCTACCATTTTGTTTTAGTAAAATATAATATATAAATACCTTTTCTTAAGATGGTTCAATGAAACCTCGTCTAATCTTAAAGAAATGTTTGATCAGTAGCTACAAAAAGGATGGTTTTGAGCAGAAAAGCCTTAAATTGTTATTTTCTCTGCGAGCTTTCTCTCCTGCTGGGAAATCCTAATTTCCAAATGTTGTTTGAGGTTTCCTTTTTAAGATTATATAAAAAAAAAATCATTAGAATAAACTTAAAGTTCGATTCAGACCAAATATTAATGAGTTATCATGAACAGGAAGACAAATCTCTGACAGTCATGATATCAGGATGATCTAGGTATTAAAGGGATCCCTGATTAGTTGTAACAGACTTTATTTGATAAACATTTATTTTAACTGTAAAATAAAGACTGTAAAAATACTGTAGGCTGTTTAGTTTTTATAATTTTTTTAAATATATTTTAACACAAATGGAGTCATTTTATTTCCACACAAAGCATTCTGGGTAAATGATGACATGGATAGGTCCTCGGTGTGAGGCTGCTAGCGAGCTATATCCACCCTGAAGGTTAATCTTGGACAATATCTGATGATCGACTCTTTTAAATGAAACCAGAGAGCGGATGGAGGGCCTCAGTTTAGCTTGTTTGTCGCGCTAGCGCTGAGCTAATACATATAAGGCAGTATAGCGTGAGGGCTAGCGCAAAGGC